ATGCTTGCCGCTATTGGCTAATAATGCTGCCACATACAAAGTGGAAAGACACGTGGCCAGTGGATGGCCACAAGCTGAATGGCCGTGCCGACAGCAGCCTTCTTCGCTCATTCGGTCTTTTTTCTCCGTACCTGGCAAGCCTCCGCCCCCCCCGTTCATCGGACCCAGAAGCTCTAGGGTTAGAGCGCAGGATCCGTCCTGGACACCGGTTCAACTCCGGCTGGGTTCATCGCTCCTCGCGTCTGCTGGGGGGTGGAGGTTGTTCTGCACCCGTGCCGCGCCTGCTGCCCGCGCTGCTGCAGCCGTTCTCGTGAGGCGCCTGTTGCCCACGCTGCTGACCCCGTGTTTGTGCCGCGCCTGCTGCTCATGCTGCTGATCGCGCTCGTGCCCCCCTCCCCTGCTGCAGTGCGGTTTGTCCCTACTCTTTGTTCTGATTGTCTGACAAATAATACGTGTTGTTTTGCGTTGTTCAAAGGTTGACTAACGTGTATTGTTTGCTGTGCTAGTGATGCCTCTAACCAGCTAACTCAACGACGTCTTGAGTGTAGCCGGGTGCAGGATCTTGGATAGCTGCCGACTGGAGCAGACGCTGGTGGCGCTCTATTTGGCGGTTGAGTGCGCCAGCCTTGTGCAGGGCCTGGAGATGCTTGAGGACGGAACTGGACCCGCGCGACGCGATCTTATGCTGAGCCAGGAAGGAGAGAGCTTCTTTCTCCGCGCGCAAGCCGAGGGCAAGGACATCGTCGCGGTAGCTGACAGCGCTTGGATCCAGCCCAAATCCGTCGGCCAAGAACAGCTTCATGTACGCAACCAGCAGCTTCGCGCTCGAGCGCTGTCGCTTGGGCTCGCTCGCGTGCCATCGTGGCTCATGGGCATACCAAGCAAACCAAGTGGCGTGAAGGTGAGTTGCCCCACTTCTGCGCTGCTTCTTCTTTGGTGTGCTGACTTCTTGCTCTCCCTCTTTTTTCACTTGGCTTGTTGCGCTTAATGGTCAGGACAGGATCGTTGTTCAGCTTGGCCTCCAGAGCGTCCATCCGCTCGTCTTGCCGCTTCGACATGTCGATTACGTGCTTAATCACAGAAGCTTGGTGATCGATGATCTTCTGCTCCTTCGTTTGCTGTGCTTGGTGGGTAGTGTCGCTCTCCGGAGTTTGCTTGTTGTTATAGGGTTCGGCTGCTAGCGAGAGATGCGCAGACCAAGCAAGAAGATCCGCCAGCGTGCTTTTACCGCTTCGCACAGCACCTTCGACCCGCGTGACAACTGGACTGCTGTGGCTCAGCTCCTTCAACAGCGGGAAGTATCGGAAGACGGCCGCAGTCAGGATGTCCACGACCTGCTTGTTGACGTTGAAGCTGGAGGTTGCGAGGTTGCTGCAGGACATGAACATCACGTCCTGTACGCGCTTGATCTGCTCAAGTGTCTGGGAGTCGAAGCTGCTGAAGTCCTGGAGTTTCACCTTCGTCTTCGGTTCGTATCCTGCGAGGACTTTGGCTACCTTGTGATCCTCCTTGCTCGTGTTGAAGATGTAGTTGAAACCCTTGTTCGTATTGCTCATGTTCCAGGAACCTCGGTCGAAGATCCAGCGGTCCGTCAATCCCTCAGAGCCGTTCGCGTGTTGAGCTCCCCCGCGGCGAAACGAGTACGAACTGAGTGCCTTCGTGACGCCAGCAGCTGGGGCGATTCGCTCCAAGACGCGGTTGACGTGCGAGTGCACCGTCGGCGTCGACGGCGTTCCTTTGGTGGCTGGGACAGAGAGTGTCGATGGCGCGGAGGGGGCATTCAGGAGCTCGACGAGCGATACATCGTCGGAGATCGCGGCCGTTGTCAAGGTTTCTTGGCGGGGAAGGTCGCCGACCAAGTCATCCGAGGGCGCTCGCTGGACAATCAAGGCAAGAGCCAAGGCCAGCAACGGACACGTGAGGAACTCCTCGTCCGGGAAAAGCGAGAGCCCCTGCTCCTCGCTCGTCTTCACCCTGATCAGACGCAAGAAGAGTATGCCGCCCGCGTCGAAGCTGACGTTCCGCTTCCGCAGCATCGACAAGTCCGACGCGCGGCCGAAGAGGTACCAAAGAAGACAAAGCAGAGCAGCATCTTGGTAGTCAGTATCACAGGAAGCATTGATATACAAATATACAAGCACTTGTTTTAAATCGGTCTTCGTACATGGAGGTGCTTTGTTAACGAAACCACCACCCTCGCGCTTCAAACAGAAACTGTCAAGCGTTTTCCCCATTTTAAGCCATCGGGTCTCTAAAGACGCACGATGCTGGGGAAACTGGTCAAGCAGCCAAAGCTTGGCTTGCCTATAGTACTGCATGGCAGTATTTCTAGCTAAAGGTTTGCCCTTTTTGCCTTTACTAAATGCAAGATGCATTCCAAACTTATCCATTACAGATACAAAACATCTTCCACTGACATCGCGCTCAATGCATTTTCTTACGTACTCCTCTGCAACGCCCTCTGCCTTCAGAAATTTCTTGAAGGCAGATAACGCTGTAGCCTTGGCCCTCAAAGTGTTGCCAGGCTGGAGCTCGTCCAGGCCCATCGCTTCCGTCCGATGCTGTGCAAATATGGAAGTGGTACGTGTCTGACCTACTATTTGCATTGGCATATACATATTTTGAGCTGCGATCGGACTCGATACGTCCGATCGAATCCAAGAATGCAACGACGAGAACCTCAAGCGTGGGCTGCGGCGATCTCCTTTAAGGGTGGCTTAGAGGACTCACCTAACCTTAGGCGAAGTTATTAAACAAAAAATGTTGAGTGAAGCTTCGGCCATTGGTTGAAATGCGTAGAAATGATGAGATTGGCCATTTATAGGTGCCCAGAGGTCATACAAAAATTAAGTATGGTCCGATAGCTAATCATATTCACCTCAAAATTTACCGGAAAATGTCATTGTGCACCGTCTGGTTTGAAACACACACCAGCCTGGCCTTGAGTCATACGAGCAAGGAACACCAAATATCGATGTACGCATTGTCCGGTCATGGTTCACGGTCTCCATTGGCCTTGTAAGCTCGCTGTTGAAACCACGATCGGGAGCACGCTGGTACAGCAGCGCTTACCTCCGAAGACGTCAGTTTCGCGACCGCGCTGCCGAACAAGAGTGCCTTATGTTCCAAGTGCCCGCGCCCGAGGTCTTGCCTGTATCTAAGGCGATACAGCGGAGTAAATCCCAAAGATCGGTATTCGTTTTCTTTGGACTGTGATGATGATGAGCAATAGCTTGGATTGAGTAAAGCGCAGCAACACGTGCCTATTATAAAACATTATTAAATGGTTTAGTTCAAGTAAGAAAATCATTTTAAAAAGGCTTTTACAAAAGCAGTACCGGTACTGTACCGAATCGGTTCTATCGGTAGCTTTTTATTAAAATTATTGGAAAAATAAAGCATTTTTAAGCTTTTTTTCCAGTTAATGTTTCGAAAAGCTACATTTCATTTTTTAAAAATGAAATGTATACGGGGTATCCGTCCAGAACGCGCGGTTACACGTACCGGTCGCGGTTCCGTGAACGGGTGGTCATGGAGAGTCTATTGGAGACCCTCAACTTGCGTTTCACCGGTTGAAATGATCTTTACTATTAATACATGTATTGGAAGACAAATCGTCCCACAAGGATGAGCATCGGAATTTGGCAGTCGAGTTTCCGCAAGCGGCGCATGGCATGCGCTCCCGTTGGAAGTGGAGGCCTTCCGTCTCCGCTGTGTGTTGCTCAAAATGAATTATTGTCACCGTCATGGTGATTCATTTTGTTGACCATACCTCACAATGTGCTCGCCGAAGTCGAGTCGCTTCATCCCATTACATGTACTGTACCGGTATGGGAGTTCATCGTGCAACAATGATCGGCAAAGTAACCCAAAACGGAGGAGCTGTGCCAGGCAGCCGACATCCTCGCTGGCAATTTCCCAGCGGCAATGTCAAGATCCGACTGCTTCTTGCATGCCCCAGGATCTCTTTGCTGCTGCTACTGACGTTGCGATGTTGAACTCTGTTCCCGAGTTCGCTGTGTCCAGTTGGTGTCGCCGATCGCTGATGCGCATTGTCAGGTGTTTCCACCCCCAGAAAGGCAACATTCAATTTTTGCGGCGCCGCTCGTCATGTATGTCGAGAAAGACGATCCTTTCTTGAAGAATTCTTCCTTCCACCCTCGGCAAACACGGCGTTGGCACCCCCAACTTGGAAGCCAACTTGCATGCACTGATACTTGGTACTGTACATTTATTTATACATGTAAGCTGCGCCGTTTGCACAGCGTTTCAAATATGCACATTTCGCAGAGATTACAGGATCAGAGATCGGTTCTGGGCAACAGAGAGCTGATTTTTTTTTCCGGTAGGCAATAAAGCACAGGTTCTCAAGATCCATTACTCAAGACAGGAACACAGTTTGCGACCGCTGTCCAGGCACTTGATCCTTACCCCATCCCCTATCACCTAAAAGAGCCGGCTTTGCTGCTTAAATGAGATCTAATTGGCAAAAACTTGGATTACGTATCAGATGGACTCTGCTCCTGCCACAGCTGATACCCATCAATAATAGCTGAAAAATCAGAAACCCCACATTAACGAGCTGTAGCAGCAAATGTATCAGCATCCCAAGTTTTCTCGTTCTTCAAGATATCGCATATCGGAGGTTTCAACCTTGATGATGTCCATGCTGGAAAAAGAAGAAGCGCCGCACCCTATTCTCTTCCCCAATTTGCCTCAGAGTTGCCAGACCAAGTCTCTCTCACTCACACGCAGGTCGCTCTTCCCCCTGTCGGGCTCAAAGCGTAAATAAGTGTACCGACCGTAGTGGCCGCCCGCCACTTCCAGCAGCTATCACGCCTCTCCACCCAGAGTCGCCCGGGGGCACGCCCCCCGTCCCAGATCGCAGTGAGCCGCTTGCGATCCCTCAGACCGGCAAGAAGCCTCGCTCGGGCAGTCTCAGCGGCTTCGGCAGCTTTGGCAACCTCCAGCTCGCAGGCAGCTCGAAACGCAAAGGCAAGATGCAAAGCCCACACACATCCTCCGGTCGTCGCGGCAGTATCGGCTTGTCCAGCAGCGCTAGCGCTGAAGACTCGTGTTTATTCGTGGACAACCTAATCCGCGGCGTTCAGCAACGTCTACGCTCGGAGTTGGGCTTCCGCGAGGTGGTCGTAGCCACAGGCGAAGAGGCAAATGATATCGGTATGGACTCGGGTCGCTCACGTACGCTGTTGGCTGCCTCCATCTTGAACGACAGCGAGTCTCCCAGTAAGAGCGAGGAACCGCAGCCCTGGGAAGCCACAGCCGCCAGTAAACGCCAGCTGCTGTACGGCGAGGACGTGGACCGCAAGAACAGCGACGCTTCGCACTGTAGCGAATGCACTAAAGGCACCGTCTACGTGTCCGATGGCTACGAGACCAAGCAGCGTCTTCTAGTCATCGTGCCATACCGAGAAGCCGGTATCTGGAGTCGCAGTATCTGCATGAACCAGTTCGACAGCGACAGTGACAGTGGCTCCATGATGTCGTACTTAAAAAAAGCTCTAAGCGAGAACTACGGCGTAGTGATCTTGAACCCTGCGGCTCAGAGTTGCCACCCGCGCTCCCACGTCGAGAGCGCGTGGGACCAACTCGTCGCCCCCTTGGCCAGCGAGGTCTTCTTTGTCGCGTTCTCGCGTGGTGCACAGATGGTACTACATCTCCTCAACTACGACAACGGTCTGGGAGTCATGCAGGACCGCGTCAAGGCCCTAGCGCTCGTCGAGCCGTCGCATTACGTCAGTGACAGCGACACGTACTTTGCTCGACACATGTTGGCACGTCGCGCTGTGTCGTGGATCTTAAACTCGGAGATCGACGTGGGGTGTAAGATCCCACAGGGACACGCACGCCACGGCTGTGTCTGTGTGTCAGCAGGCACAGTACCGTCCAATGTACTAGGCAGTAGCGGCGCGTACGCCTTGGAAATGGTCAAGAGCTCTGTGTTCGGGTCATTTGCAGCTCGGTGCGGCGAAGTAGCTGGCATTACCGTGAACGCCAATAAGATTAACGCGTGTGGCATCTGCCATCGCAAGCTTTCCATGCTGAACCGACGAATCCCGTGCACGTGGTGTGAAGTCAAGTACTGTAGTCGCTGCTGCGAGGACAAATTTGTGCCTGCTTTCGGTAGTTGGCGTGTGTGCTCTTTGTGTCAGTCGCTACCGTGTTTGATCGACCCTCGACGTAAGGACCGCAGCGCTACGAACCACACGAGTCCGACGGCTGCAACGCAGGAGCGTTGCAGTGTCTTCATCCGCCCTACAGCCGATGACGACGACCCCGTGTGTCTGGGAGACTTTGAGATCGTCAAACTTGTCGGTCGTGGCGCGTGTGGACGTGTCAAGCTGGTACGGAAGAAACACGGCTATGACGAAGGCGTGTTCTACGCGATGAAGGCGATTCGCAAGAAACTGGTGATCCAGCGTGGGCTGGTGGAAGCGACGAACGCGGAACGACGCATTCTGGACCGGATTAAACACCCGTATGTGGCTACACTGTGTTACGCGTTCCAGACCGAAGCCAAGCTGTATCTTTTGTCCAAGTATTACCCTGGTGGCAACCTGCTGGACCAGATGCGACTGGCACGGAGATTCACTGAGGATCGCACGAGACTGTACACTGCCGAAGTGGCGCTCGCTATCCGCCACTTGCACCAGAATGATATTATTTATCGCGACCTCAAGCTGGAGAACGTCTTGGTGGACTCGGACGGCCATGTGGCGTTGACGGACTTCGGAATGTCGAAGGAAAACATGCCGGACGAAGGTCGCACCACGACGTTTGTGGGCACGTATCAGATGATGGCGCCGGAGGTGTTTAGTGGCAAATCCTACTCGCGAGCGGTGGATTGGTGGGCCTTGGGTGTCATGGTGTACGAGATGATCGATGGACGGACCCCGTTTAACGCCAAGACGAACCGATTAATCAAGGAACGGATCGTGAACGTGGACTTGAAGTTCTCGCCGCGCTTTACGGAAGACGCTAAGGACTTTGTGTCGAAGTTGCTGACCAAGAACGAAGACATCCGCTTGGGATCGGGGGAACATGGCTTCGAGCATATTAAACACCATCCGTGGTTCAAGGGACTCGATTGGGCCACTGTGGAGCGCAAGGAAGCGTTGTTTGAAGGCCAGTATGCACTTATGGAGAAGCACGCCAAGGAGTACCGTACCGAAGATATCTTTGAGACGTACATGAACACGGTGGAGGTGCCGATCGACACGCCGGCGTCAGTCAAGAGCTCGAATGGCGAATTGTTCAACGACTTTGCCTTCAACTACATGGACGGGCCGGATGAGGAGCAACGTGACGTTCCTGAGCCGGACGAAGAAGGCGAGACCGAGAGCCCGTTGTCGCCCGTGTCGCCTGACGGCAGCACGGAGCGGACGTCGAAGCCTCGACCGCTTACGCTGAGGGAGGACAAGATGCTAGACACGTTCCTGTCGACCAATGGCTCGCACTTTGACTTGACGCTGCTGCGACCGAACCAAGCCACGGACTTTGGCGTCTCGGGCTGCTCGTCGTTGAGCTCGGAGGGCACAGATGACGAGGCGGCGGAGCCTGTTGAGCAGCTGGACGACCTGGAGACGACGAAGAAGCAGAAGAAGGCCAAGAAGCCGTCCAGTCCGACGACGCAGCCGGTGTCACCTTCGAGTAATGAAGGCACGGACGTGGACTCGGTGATGACCAAGACCGGAAGCGATGCGACCGAGGAAGGTGCCAAGGCCGCGTGGGTTTGATGTGGGTAAGAGATCCAGACGCCGGTAGAGCTGCGTACAAGGCTAGTGGAGATAACGACAGAACGCTGGTATTGAGCTTTAGATTTTTCTTATTAACTGCCAATCATAGTGTGTTATTTCGATTTTAAACCAATCACGACGAAGTGTTGAAGTTGCGTTTTGGAAATGGCGATGAAGGGCATCGACACTGGACAAGGTGACGAACGAGACGTCCCTTGTGCGCTACAAAGCGATTTAAGAGAAGCAACTGGCATGGATAGATGGACAGGCTTCTTGCAAGTGTATGGGTCGTTTATTACGCGAGAATTGACGCAGCAACACCCGCAATTCGCCCGTGCTTTGTGTCAATTGGAGCGAGATACACGTCTCGAGCAAGAACGACAGAGTGCGCAGATTCTAGCGACGCTGAGAGTGAAAGACGCAAGGATATCAGAGCTACAGAAAGTGGTGAGTGAGCAACGTGAGCAGCTAGACGTCGTGCTGGACGAATTGGAGCGGAGAGAGACAAAAGAGGACGCTGCAGTGCAGACGGAGGGCGGCGTGAAGGCGACCAAAGAAATAGACACTCAGACGGAGAATAGGGAAGAGGAAAAAGGCGTTTTGGTGGTCTTAGAGAAGCTAGAGAGGGAGCTGAAGACGTTAGAGGACAAGAACTTAACGCTGGAGAAGGAATTGCAACAAAGAGTGAAGAGAACGGAGAGAAGGGAGAAATTAGAGGACAACGACGAGATAAAGAACTGCCTGGAGACTTTGCAGCGTGGAATCCAAGCCATGGACTTGTCTTGTGGCTGTGTAGATAACCCATTAACCTTTTATGTTGGAGTACCAGAAGCAGCGACTATGTCAACGTGTGTGAATCTGGAACATCGTCTGGAAGCACAATCAGTTCGTCTAGAACATGTCCAAGAGTGTTTGTATTTGTGGCGTGATGCAGCGATGCAGCTGATAAAAAGACAAGAGTGCTCTGACCATGGAGAATGGAGTGCGCCGTTGGTAACTCCTGCAACAATTACTGGACCAGATGATCGTATAAAACCTCATTGCTCTGTAGCTCTTCGAGGTGCGTTATCGCAGATGCGTAAGCACCTTTTCCAGCCTCGTCATTGTGACGAACACTACATTGTGAAAGAGTTCGTTAGAGCTCTTGGAAACGGGAAAAATGGCGTGAAAGATGCAGCTAAAATGGTTCGTAAGTGGGCAGGATGGGAGGCCAAACACCTGGATGAAGTACGATCTTTAAGACGGAGCTTTACAGAGGAACGTGCGGTGGATCGAAGTCGAAAAACAGCGTTATTTAAGCGAATTGACCAGTTAGAACGACGAGAATTGGACTTGCAAGCGGAGGTGAATGCATTGAGACAGAAACGCAAACTCCATGTAGACAGAACGGCGCAAATGCCCCAAAATTTGCCTTTCTGGAAGCTTCGTAACGCTTCTATCGCAGCAGATAAACGTGAGTGCTTGACGTATCCACAACTGCTAGCTAGACTTGCCACGATGGAGCAGAGCTTATTGGCGAAAGATGAACAATTGTCAGCTGCTAATGAGACTATTAGAGCGCTTTCAGTTGCTTCGGATACCGTTGGATCTTGTGACTCAGTAAGGCGTCTGAGCATGGAACTGCAGCGTGTTGTTAAGCAGAAATTCGACTTTTTCCAAAGACGAGAACAAGATCTTGTGACTGTAAGTCGGTACTTTGAAATGGAGAAGACGTGTCTTCAATTACAGTCACGTCTCGAAGTGGAGAAGAAGCAAGTGGCGATACTGAAAGCAGCAAAAGAAGTGTGTGACAACGAGCGTGACGAACTTTTAATGAAAGTGGAGAAGCTCGAGACGGAGACTCTACTAGCGACTATCAATGGTGCACCTTTACTGCGTAATAACAAGCAGACTAACGATGATGACAATGCGACACTGTTTATGTTGAAACGTTTACGATTGGTTGACGATGATCGCAATATGTTGCGTGCACATCTTCGTCGTTATCGACAGCAAGTTGCGTTGCAGCGACAGGACTGTGAACAGACAAAATCTGTCGAGGAACTGACGACTTTTATGAATATTGTTGAAGAGTACCATCAAAAATGTGTTGATACTTTCAAGGAATTCCTTGATGGACATGATACCACAGAGTATTCCTCAAAAGGGTCTCCGGAATGGGATGTTTTTCTGAGCCACTACGAGGCTTTATGGGTCGCATTCAACGTCCTTTATACATTCCTGGGTCACTCTTATGGAACTGGTCAAGAAGATTCTGTTTTAGTCTCTGGACTGGAAGCTTTCGAGCTCGAAGTTATCGAGCGGGATGAAAAGATTATGCTTCTTCAACAACAGCTAATGGATCAAAGAGGGAGTGACTCGAAGGATGAATATTATTCTCACAACTCGCGTAGTGATCGTGTTGAGTTGATGAATGAGAGTTTAACGGAGGGCATACAGAACTCGCCTACCAGCAAGGACATGTCTAAAGTGAAAGACCCATTTTTGGCATCCGTGAAACCCCAGACGCCAGCCGACAGGACGTCAGGTAACGGGTGTGATAACGAGGCAGCACTTCCAGACATTTCAGCACTAATGGAAGACCGGAAGGTAAGCCAGGAAGGGGTTAACTAAAGAACTATCGATCTAATATTCTATCGCTGGTACTCTGCAGAGAATGTCGCTTGAGCTGGAGGAGTGTCTGGCAAAATGTGCTTATCTCACGTCGCAGAATTCCAAGCTGGCTGGACGATTGAAAACTGCGAAGGAGACGAACAAACAGCACTTGAAAGAACAGGAGGATCTACGAACGAAGCTCAGCGCAAGATCCGAGACAACCTTGGAGTTTAAAGAGACTATAGAGGAGGATCGAGATCAAGGTACTGCGTCAAGTGTCCACACAAGCCATATTGAAGACACTGTCCAAGAGGATAACGAGAGCTGTGCTAAGAACGCCAGTCATCAAGAATATGAAGCTCTAAGAGAGCAACTGGCGTCAAGGGAACAAGAAAATCTAGCGCTAGTGCAGTCTCTTTGTACAATCAAAGACAAGTGTGCGCAGCTGGAGACAATTCATCAGAAAGAACTCCGTCTCAAGGCTGCGGAACATGCGGAGAGCATGGAAAGCTACATGTCCACAGTCAATGAGACCTTATCATGTATCGAGAGCGACAGAAATCGCCTCGAAGAGGAGAATTCCCAGCTGCGCTTGAGTGTACAACAACTGGAAGACGACAGAGCGCAGAATAAGCTGAAACAATCTCAACGTTGCACCGCCGGTACAAACACTGAACTCAAATTTGATATGGATATTTATACGCAAGAGAAAGTGACGTTAACAACCCGAATTGGTGATTTGGAGCTGCAATTAGCTCGCGAACGGAAGCTTGTGGAAGCATTAGAACAAAAGAAAATTCTGCAAATTCAACACGAGCAACAAGTGGAAAGTGATATCAAAAACGAGGCTTTGAAAGCTCAACAAGAGTATGAAAAACACAGCGAAATTTTGCAGAAATGGCAAGAAAAACTACGACACGAGTTCGACGACTATCAGGCGGTACAGCGTGCATTTCAGCAAGAAAGCGACAAACGTATCGAGTTCCTTTCAGCTTGTATCGAGGAATTTGCTCGTGCTACAGAAGTCGGGAAGACACTTTCGACACAAGAACTATACGATGTTGTGATGGAGCTTAGTAAGCAACACAAAAGTCGAACTGAAGACCAGAAATATGCTGCTTTTTGTCGAGAAGATGTGTCGCTTAACTCCGATACGGAGCAGAAGGAACCTGAGATGAGTGAGGCGATGTGGTGGAAAGTAAGGGCGTTTAAAATGGAGGCTTATGTACGCTCTGCAATGTTACAGAATGATACGTTCGAAGATACTATTCGTCAACTTGAAGTGAGCATGAGCAATGTGAAACAAGAGTTGGCTTCAAGACTGTCACGCGAAGCTCAATTAGTGTCACAACTAACTGCGCTAAAGTCGGAGCTAGCAACTACGAAAGAGCAAGCTGCGTCGATAGCAGAAAAGTATCAACTTGCTAGTGTAGAGCTCGAAAAGCGACAAGGAGAAGCGTCGACGCGTGGCGATGAAACGCAACGTACTCGCATGGCTATTCAACGTAAAACGGAGCTTTTATCGCAACAAAAAGCAAAAGTATCGTCGCTTCAACAAGAGTTAGAACAGGCGTCTAAGAAGCTTGAACGACTGACAACGGCAGAGAAACAGACGGCAGTGCTGCAACAAAAAGCAAAGGAGCACACGCAGCAGCTTTTGCAAGCTCGTCAATGTTACGAACAATGTCACAATGACAACATTCAGTTGTCGCTCCACTTAGAGAAAACGAAGACCCGTCATGCGAGTATTGTGACACGATTGAAAGCTGCACGAGCTGAGAGCGCGAATCTCAGGACTGAGTTAAAAAACAGTGTAAAGGTTGGTACTAAAGGGGCCAACAGTAGCGACAACCAAGTTGAAATGAACGTCTCTGTAGCGTCCTTAGCTGAAGAGACTCGAGCGCTTAAGCGACGAGTACTTCAGAAACAAGACGTGATAGTAAGCTACAAAGCGAAGCTGACGGAGTATGAAGCTCAGCTGGAGCGACAACGAGAGACTATGGTGAAGCTTGCACGTACGAATCGCGAGCTGCAACAAGGGCAGCGTCAACGACAACAACAAGAACAGGAGTACATTTCATCGGTTCATGCTAAACTTGAGACACAACTCGGAGCGAAGCAAGAGCAGTTGGATGGTCTACGTGCTTCTGTGTACGATTCCTTCGAAGCCTTCGTATACTGTCAGCCTCCGTCGTTGACAAAGACATCGTCTTCTTCTGACGGTCTACTCGATAGCCCCTTGACGGAGGATAAGGACGACAAACTTTTTGCAATTAGGCGATGGACGGACTTTTCAGTCAATGACCTCGAGGAGCTGAGGCTCACGCGAGATCCTCTACGACCGCAAGAGAATGAACATGGTCGACTGAGACGGAAGATAGCTGGGACAGCACTTCAAGAGGTGGAACGGGCTTTGGAGGCGAATCCCGAGGACTGTCGTGCTGAAATATGCGAACTCCTCCAGTGTCTCTATAAATAATATTGCTGTAGACTGACTAACCTTGCCCATTTCAATATTACCATCAAGAAAAGCGACGAGGAGTGTGAAACTCTTTAGTGTCCTTAATATGAACCAAAAACACCATAACAGTACCACCAACCAAGCTCCTTGTTCTTGTCCATGTCTGCTGTATGCTTCGTGGTTTAGTGAGCTCGTAGACAGTACTAAAACCATTTGCGATAATCTTTAAACTTCCTCAAAAATTCCACGGGTTTTTTCTTGAAAGCCTTTGCAGCATCGCTCACCCATTTGAACCTGGCCAGCACCCTCAGCGATCTCCCCTCTGTAACAGTAGATTCGCTAGCAGCTTGATGAGCATCGCCGGCGTCATTGGATCGCAAAGCTGTCACACCTTCCTTTGGATTAATCACATTCGCACAATTCAATGGGATGGTCGCGGCTAGGATAGCGACAGCAGCTAGCAACACATTGGCAAACCGCATCGGGTACTCTGTGGACTTTGTTCTTGACGACTCGAATTGAATAATGAAAAAGAAACGAAAAAGATGATCTCCGTACACCACATGGGATTCAAGTTGCGACCTGTTCCTGCAATTTTTTGGTGAACGAAAACATTTATCTCATTTTTCATAACGTCAGTTTCTCTATACCACTCTCAAATCTAACACTTCTGTACTCCTTTATGAGCATACGTTGTGAGCTACAGGCATTTTATAGCTAAATGATATCACTACCAAAAGCGCACGCTTAGCTCTATTTGAGAGTATTTTTTAGTTATGAAGGACAAAGAAGTAAAATGGTTGAAGTAAAGAGACTTGACCCTAGTGGCGAATGTTTAGTATTTGTTTTGACGGGGGGAACTTGTGGCTATTACATGTAATACATGTAGTGAAGAACAACTACTGCAAATTCACATTAGACCAAGAATTTCACGCTCTCGACAGATGTGAAATCACTGCTCAAAAAGCTGCTGTTTTGACTTCTTTTAGAGGTTTGCTTAAAAATTCAAGTTTTGGCCAATCACATTATTCGATTGCTGCTTCGTGCTTACAGTACTGTACTTTACTGAACTGTAGTCTACAGAGACTCTCTCTCTCTGTCAGAGAGAGCTGAGATTTGGGTTTGGGGATGGGAAGTTTCAAACAGTACCGGATTGATGAGTCCTAGTGTTCCACATCAGATTTGTCGAGCACGAAAGGAGCTTGGTTGTTTTGTGTCAGGGTAAAGGCTGGCTAAGATTCAACGTGCGATAAGCCAGCTTGTTACAGTCCGACCCTAAGATCAAATTAAATGTTCAGGATTTTGCTGATGCAACATAAACAGCAAACCGGTGCTCGTTTAAGACCTTTTCTATAAGACGTGGATGGTGCACTGTAAAAAAACTACAAATTTCTTTCACAAAATACTTTCACAGTTTTTTAGAAACTACTGATGTTTAAAAAATATTTTTTTTCGAAACTTGAATAATACTCTCACACCTCAGTATTACTCTGTGAAATCGTAGCAAATGCGCAATAAGTATTGTACATGTTTCGCCAAAATAATATTGCAATATCATAGGTGCCTACAGTGTTAATTGCGTATCCTGTTCGGCTACAATACCGGACATCAAAGTATTGCAATCTTGGAAATATATTGTCTCAGACCTCTGGTGGACACTGTAGCCGATTAAATATACTTAGTGTGTTGTGGTGGTGAAACGCCCGCCTCCGGCGATCGCCCGTACACTCACCTGGATCTTGTGCAATCACGACTAAGTGTGTGACCCAGTACTAGGACAATACAATAAAGTCGCTTTGATACGTCACAGCTGTCCACACGCATACGCAGCGTGTTCATCCTGAAGAGTTTGTCACCATTGTCGACTGTAAGCAGCCCAAAACCATGAATCGTTGGTGGAGAAATCCGCGAGCAAAATCAAGAAAAAGCGAGCCAAGAAAGTACAAGGCCCCAATAAGAAATCCCCAGCAATTCAAGGTGGAGAGAATCAGAAGAGTGTGTCAGCATCATATGTAGCTCCAGTTACTATTTTGGTCAAGGCTCAGAAAACGGTGGTGTCGACACGGAAGCGCGTTACTGACAAGGTGACGGACCTGTGGCTCATCTCGTCAGATTTAACAGTCTCCATACTGCAAGATGAAGCCTTGCAGCATCTTGTTTAGCACTTGAACGCGCGGCAATATCGACGCTATCGACCGCAGCCAATTTGAGAGCTGAGGAACATGATGGGATTGCCAAGTTCGGCAACTTTCTGAGATCATATCTCGCTTCGGAGTCTCAAGCTGCAATGGATGTGCCATTCCTGGGCGCAGCAGCTGATACTGAAGTAAGGGACGACGTCGTGTCATACCAGGAGAATACGTTTCTAAGTGTGGCATTTGGGTACATTGACTCTCAGTGACGCAGAGTGGACCTGGTGCTTGAAGCGAAGAAAGTTTTACAAGGTCGGAGGCGACAGGTCGACCAACCGGCGACCTAGACGATTACGGGGACATACTGTGACGTATCCGTACATGTTATTACTGTACGCTTATGGACATGTAACAAGTCTTGTAACGCCTGCTTGACGGCGTGTCGTACAGCTGGTGCCGTGCTGCGTTCGTGGTCCAGGTTCGTACGATATCGACTAGTAATAACGCCTGTTGACTCGGTCACCCCCGCCGGGACGTCTGTCCCTATTTTTAAACATCAACCCTATAAAACCGTACGCTCGTTTGATCCGTAGTCGCCGTCCTTGGGGTACCCAAACAGCCGCACGACCACCGATCCAGCTCGTTGTACGGACTCGACTCGCTGCTCCGCTGCTGAATGCAGCAGAGGCTTCTCGCGTCGTCTCCTTGGAGACTCTCAACCACCTCGGCCGTCCGTGAAACCGTCATTCGCCGTCCCTAGAACCCGCACGTCACACTGCACAACCTCGCGAGCCCCTATTGCTCACGAGGATGCTTCGCAGTGCCCCGCATTGCCTAGAACCCGGCGCCCTGGATTACTCGTCGCCTCAGTAGCACTCAACAGTGCTGCCACTGCCCTTCAACCACACTTCTCGCTTACTTGTCCGTCTATTCATGCCAGTCTTGGCCGACGTCTCGCACTTAGTACCGCACTCTGTCGTACGGCTCTGTCGCGTCGCTGGTGTCTCCCGTGCACCCGCGATCTTCGAGCTGGTTGTGCTCGACACCGCCAATTCCGAACTGAGCTCTCTTCCACTTGGCGCCGCCGGTTTTCATTTTGGCCGCACGCCACATAGCTCGCACGATCCTGGCGCAGCCAATCTTCTTTGGCCGCACGCCAGTCCGCAGCTGCTCACCCACCTCACTTCGTCCTACACTTCGGCACTCTGGCCGTACTCATCGGCCTTCGAGCCGTCCGTGAGCGATCCACCGGATATAGCCCTCTGCTTATCGCGACTCTTCGCAGGTTCGCCGACCTCGCCTCGCCCTTCTTCAACTTGGTCCCGCCCCACAAAGGTTCCACAGGTTTGCTGGATCCGCACTGCGTCACCACCACAGGCCCAGCGCTCACTCCGAGCCACTGCCCTGTTACACGCCTTCTCCAGATACAGAGTCTTCCACGACTCTGTCGGCTTCGAACAATGCATCGTATTCTCTGGTCGAGACCCAGCGCTGGCCAACGTCTTTGCCTCCATTGGTTCCTGCCCGACCGGATCCAGCTCCACAAACGGCCGTAGCTCGAAATCAAGGACATATTGTCCTGCCTCGTTGCGCCGCTTTCGTCGTCGTATATCCACCATCTTGATGTTCGAGTCGAGTCGTGGTTCCTGACTCGCCGTGGTTCGTGCTTCTCGCTTTCGGCTTCCTGTCGCAACTGCTGTGTATACTGGAGCCGCCGTTGCTACAGTAGCCGCGCCTGCCGTCGCGATATCTTTCCCGAATTCGTCCGTACCTTCATGTTCAAGCTGCGCCTCGATGTCCTTCGCTGTAGCCTCTAGTAATGCCGTTGGGTAGTGGTAAGTAGCCAAAAATGACACGTGCGCTATAAATTGCTTCCGTGCACCCCCCCCCCCCGTCGTCTTCTCGCTCCACTAAGTAGTTATCGTCAACCGCTGACTGGACCACCCTCATTGGGCCTATCCATTGGTGTACGAGCTTCGAGGCTTTTGGGCCCCGAGGGGGTCTGTACAGCCATACGCGATCATTTGGCACGAACACTCGCTTTTACCGTACCTTGCGGTTATAACACTTGGCTTGGCGTTGCTGCTTGCGCTCCCTGGCTCGTTCAGCACACACATGACTAGTCTTCATCGCTTCCACCAGCCGACGATGGTAATTTGTCAATGATGTGTCCTAATTGGTGACATAGCGTACAAGTTATTGTACAGAATGTCTTACCATACAAAATATGTTCTGGACCCAATCCTGCATAAGTCGATACATCACCTTTTACAGGAAAGATAAATCAATGGTGCCAGGAAACTCTCTGAAGACAGACTCATAAAATTCAATCACATCTCTTTTTTCTTCCTTCTACTCAAGCTCCTCCACCTTCCTCGCCTCACCTTCAATAGGTTATGAGCTCAACGCAAGCCTCCACCGCTGACGACCGCGAGTTTCCGCGCCTCAATGGCCGGAACTTCATCATCTGGAAGACCCGCGTCACTGCCGCCCTCGAAGGAAAGAACCTTCTCGGCTACGTCGAGCGTATCGACTACACCGGTGACTCCGACTACGAGTTCGACTCCGATGAAGAGCTCAACCCGGCACTGTCCGACATGAACGACATGTCCGCCGCGCTTGATGCTGCCGGTGCTCCCAAGGCCGACGAAATAGTGGGCTCCTCACCGAGCGAGTCCTCCTCTGATGCCAGCTCCGCAAGTTCGGATGCACCCACAGCCGGAGACGACGGCGATGTGGAAATGGGACAGGAGAATCCCCCCGTTATCCAGTCATTCACTGCTCAGAAGCGGGATGAACTGAAGCGAGCAGAGAAGCTGAGGGCTAAAAGCCAGAGGCTGAGCTCGAAAAAGCTTCGACTCAACGAGGCAAAAGCAAAAGCTTTCCTTATCAAGACCATCGATGACCAACATGTTCTCATGGTCAAGGACAAGACTACTGCGTTTGAGATCTTCCAGACGATCTGTAGCAAGTACGAAGGTGCTGCCATCCACGGCGACCCGTATCATGTGCTATCATACCTGATGGCACTGAGGTATGAAGAAGGTTCAGACCTTACGGGGTTCATAATTGACATCGAATCTGCCATGAAGGTTGCCTCCGAAGCCACAAACAGTGTGCTCAGTGACGAACAGAAGTCACTCTACTTGTACCATGCGCTACCTGGAAAATGGAAGCAGCAACTATCGGTCTGGAAGGGTAGCAGGAAATTCATTCCCTACGAAGAGCTAAAGCGTCACATCGAGGCCAAGGTGCAGCATGAACTGGCGAAAAACCGCTACACGCTCAAACAAGGAACACCCGAATCGAGGGAAACCCGAAACGAGCAGGCCCTACAGGCTTTAGCACCTGATCTAACCTTGGTTCAAGCTCCCTATCATAAGAGCAAGGCTCTCATCTCAACGATGAGCTGTACATACTGCCTGCGCACCAACCACGATACTGTCGACTGCTATGTTCTACAGCGCCACCTACAAAATGGTCAGGTAAAGGCAGGAACGGTGCTTTTCGCCAACTTTAAGCTGAAACCTTCGTCCAATCAAGCTCGACAGCATCCTTACAAGGACGGTTTCGGCGGCAAGTCACGAAACCAAAATCGGAATGACTACAAGAGCAAGCGGAACAGCAATCGAAACAGAAGCCAGAACGGCAACCAGAAGAATACATCTGGAAAATCCAAGAGTCACAATAAATATCACGGTCGCCGCAAGGACACCGACTCCGACAACGAGTATGGAATCATAGCCATCACCACTCTGGACCTCAGACAAGAAACAGAGGCTGTAAGTCTCACCGCACAAGATGCGGAGCATGACCCAGTGTGGACTGTCGACTCAGGCTGCACTCGCCACGCTACGTCCAATCCGAAGTGGTTTGAGAAGCTGATCCCAAGTGCTGGCAAGTCAAACACAGTCGGCGGCAATCACCAGATTCCGATAAAAGGAACTGGTGATGTCAAGATGACAATCAAGGACACGAAGGGAAAGGAACGAGAAATATCCCTTGCCCAACGTGCTATATGCGCCTTAGCTGAAGTTCAACCTACTCTCCGTGCGCCAAGCCGTCGAAGATGATTTCAAAATCAACTTCCCCAACGCAAAGAAGTGCGTTCTGTTCTTCGCTAGCCGAACCAAATTTGAAGCCAAAATTGGTGAAGGGACTCGACTCTACCAGTTTCAAGCGAGCCCGGCAACCTCAAGTCAGGTAGCCCATGTGGCCACTTCAGGTAAGCCTGATAATGTTTTACTTTGGCATAAACGAATGGGTCATCCTAACTTTCGCATTATGCAGGATCTGGCTAAAGCCAACACTGTCATGGACATGGGCCTGAAGGACTTTGATTCCAAGAAAGACTACTTTTGCTCTTCCTGCACATACGCCAAGGCCCATCGTAACCCATTCAATAAACGTACCGTTGAACGGGCAAAGTTCCCTCTTGAAAAAGTTCATTCTGATATGGCTGGTCCATTACCCGTCCCCACACTCTCGGGGTGTCAATATTTTCTGACCTTTATAGATGACAACTCACGGTACATGTTCATCTACATCATCAAGCGAAAGTCTGAGCTGTACGAATGCTATGAAGATTTGCGCAAGAAAGCACAAAACGTTTTTCACGCTGATGTAGGCGAGCTCCAGTTCAATGAGAACATACACGATGAAGAAGTTAGACATCTTCAAAGCGACAATGCCCGAGAATATGAGAAACTTGGAAAAATGATTTTTCAGAAGTACAATACGCACGCACAATTTACAAATGCGTACACGCCCCAGCAAAATGGAGTTGCAGAGAGGCGCATGCGTACACTACTCGAAACGAACCAGAGCTTTCCTCATTGATGGTACCCTACCGCAGGTTCTTTGGGGAGAATGCGTCAAACACGTTGCTGACCTTCTGAACATTACTCCCAGCTCGGTAACCGAAAAGGTCACCCCATACGAGAAATGGTTCAAGCGAAAACCATCCGCGCACTACATCAAAGTGTTTGGGTGTACTGCGTACGCTCACATCCCTGAGATACACCGCACAAAACTAGAACCGCGTGCTAAGAAGTGCATGTACTTAGGACTCCCATCAAACAAAATGGGATATAGACTCCTTGACACGAAAGAAAACCGTGTTATCTACAGCAGGGATGTTGTGTTTAGAGAAGACGAGTTCCCACACTTGGAGTTCCTCAATACACCCGCAATCTCGGACCAAAATGGCCCCGCACCGACGCTATCACCGTCGCTACCAACACCACAATTGCTACCTCCAATAGCCTCACTACTAAAACGCAGCGTCAATGCGCTTGCCGCGGAAGTAGTAGTAAAGACGAAGAAAGTCAAACACAAAACGAACGCTCAGAACAAGGATGAACACTCGTGTCTACTTGATGATCCACTCGACAT